ACAATTTCTTCAATTTCTGCTGGTCCTGTTTCATCACGTCGTAATTCGGTTAAATCAGTCCTTTTCTCGATGTGTTTATCGCATAGCATTTCACTATCCGAGAGTACGAAAAACTTACGAGTTTTTTTCACCATTGCAAAARAACTCCTYTGATAACTATCACGACACTTTACACATTCTATTGTTACATCAGGATTTTTCTGCTTGCACTTATAATTGCACTTTTTACATTGCCATTCATCAGGCGGCTTTGACGAGCGTCCGCTCGCGTCCGCCATCTTGAAGAATAAGAGGCCAATCTTATACAGGGACATTTTTTTATTAGTATACATAGCCCTATGTATACTTTTTTAAAAACCGGTTCAATTTCATAGGGTAGGCGACCAACATTTCAAACTTTTATAGGGTACTAGATATTAAAATATTCAAAACTAAAATTTTGTGTCAAGTTTGTCAAGTGTCAGTCTTGAAACTTAAAGCGTAGCTTTAAAAAGTTAATACCATTTATGATACCCATGTACACCAAAGTGAATCGGGAGATATAGTCCCATCGCATAGCCCCTACGATCGCCAGACTTGGCCCCTAACGATTTTTTTCTGTGGGGGTATTTAAAAATAAAAATTTATACTAATGTTCCAATGCAAAATTTAGAAGAGCTGAAAGAAGGTATTCGTAAAGAATGTAATGAATTAATAATATAGATCCTGAATTTATCAGGAATGCAGAGGCGGGGTTTTCAAAATCGCTTGGGTTATTGTTTGGAACTGCAAGGAACACTTGTTTTAATTATTAAATATTTTTCATGTTTTGATGGGTTCTATCTTTAAAATTAATATTTAATTAAATTTACTTTGTTGTTTTTAAAAGTTTGTCTTTTATTTATCGATATTAAAGCCTTTGCAATATTGGTTGCCTATGCCTGAACTAACCGCTTATCGTAATTGCCATAGCAACATTGAAGTTGACCCGTTTTTTTTTTAAAGTATACATAGGGCTATGTATACTAATAAAAAAATGTCCCTGTATAAAAAACCCATTAAAATGTTGTTTTAGTACTTTACATATTGTGTCTGCTATGGCACAAACCACACTCTGTAAATAAAATTGTGATTATTTGAGATATTTGAGGTAAATATGACCGTTGTTTAAAAAGTCTAATATTTAATAAAGTAATTAACAGTACAAACTGAAATCGACGCATTATTATGACTTTCAGATAAGTAACTTTCCGGTTTTCATAAGATCTTAACGTTTATTGTTTGTTTTCGAAGGATGTAAGATACAACTTTGTTTTGTATACGTCTTGAATTTCAACTTTTTTTTTCTTACGTGGAAGAATGCACAAGATCGTCTATATAGTTTTAAACCCTTAAAAAAACTCAATGTAAGAAATTACTTGTCCACGCTCCTTATGTTTATGATGATTCCTATTTATGAAATACCGGTTTTGTATCCGTTTTCTCAACTTATCCACTGTTCTTTAGAAAATCGGTTTTTTACTGACGTACAGTTGCGGAATTAAAATTTCGGGCACTATTGTCATTTTCATAATGTAAACTTTAAAACAACCTTTACATTATAATAACCTCAGTTTTTACTCTTGTCATGTTTGTCATTTTGACTTATTTACTTTCAAAAATAGTGATTTGAGGCATAATAACGCGTAGACAGCAGATCAAAGCGATGATTTAATTACACTTAGTTCAATTAATAAATTTCTTAAGACAGACAAATTGTTTAATTATCAATTTTAACAACAAAAAAAAGTTTAATTGTCAAATGTCAGTCATGATGACAGTAAAGGGTAGTTTACAGTGAACTTTTTAAAGTGACAGAAAAATACTTACTGCCCAAAATTTTAATTTCGCAATTGTACACTAAAAATTCCGAGTTTTAGATCAAAAAACATTGGAAAACATAATTATGTAATGAATACACTGCATGTAGAACGTCATTTCCAATATATTACATTATATTTTAAATGTCTTTGCAAAGAATCGTACATACAACGCTTTCATCAATAAAAACAATTTCTAACTCGTATAGATATTGAACCTAACGTCAAAAAATTCACATTTTATCATCGCGATCTAAACGTGGTGAGGAGAAACGTCAGATGACGCACCTGTCAACCCCCGTTATTTTTCCCATAGTTGTCTTATATTGTTGAATTTATTAACACTCACCTAACATTTCGATATTAATTAATTCTGGTTGATCCAAATTTTTATTTGATAAAAATATTATTTATCCACAATCACACTATAAAGAGACTTTATTCCACACTTTAGATGCGTATAAACTACCAGTTTATCCACTAGTGGAATAAAGTTACTTTATTCCACTGTTAGTAACCAGCGCACCACGTAACAGCTTACTACGTTTAACCGAAAGCACATTTGGCGTGACGTTTATAGGTCAATTTAATTTTTAATTAAGTGTGGAATAATTTGGTCCTGTGATTGTGGATAAAACGTTATATTGCAGTCGCGTGTTAGTCGCGTTTTATCCAGTTAAGAAAAAAAAAACATTCTTGCGTGGATAAAACGCTACCTAACACACTCTTATAATAAATAACTATTATTTTAGGATTAAATTAAATTGACTTTTTCGTTTATGTTTAAATACTCGTAGGTGATAATTTGCGTGAATTGTCTACCTACTTTCAAAATTTCAAAATTGTTTAAATTCGGTGGAAACATCTTTTTTCTCAAAGTGGAGTTTTGTAATATTTTTTATTACAGGTTTAAACCTGTGGGATTGACTTAGAATTTTTATTTACTTTTTGTTATTTATTTTTCAAAATTGAATAGTTTTGGAAAAATAATAATCAAATCAATAAAATATGACGTAAAATAGCTTGTGGTAACGTCCTGAAAATCACTTACATAACAGTAATAAACACACCAAATCTGGGGTTTTACCAACCATTATTTTATGTACGAATCTGCGACTAACAATGAAAGATGAAATGTAAATACAATAAAATACATTGTGTATTTTTTATTTCTTGTGGCGTCTGTGATCATTTTATTAAATGCAAGAAAAATATCAATTGTTACGCTACTCTTAAAGTAAAAATAAATAAATATAATTCTAATGTATAAACATTTTAAATCGATTAAATCGATTTTATCAACAACAAGATTCAGTAATTTTTAAACACGACACAATTTTTAATTGCTGTTAAATTAATCGTATTAACACATATACATTGACGCAGAATAAATTATGTATTCTCTATAAAAATTATTTTAAGCATTCATTATGTTATACTTGATACTGGTTTACTGTTTTAATGTCGTAATTGGAAGTTCCCAACGAACAAGTTTATTTCATAGAGTTATCGCAAAATCATTTGTTACTTTATTGCGATAGCATTTAAATGCATATTGTTTTTATTATTTTAATTACAAGCGGAATTACTTGAACTTTAAGCCACTAATTTGAATTATGAGGAGAGAAATACGTTGTAACAATACATGATGAGAGTTTAAATTTTGCACTTATTTATTTCTGTTGGAAAAATAATTTTCTATTTTTTTTGCTGCAGGCTATTAGAAGAGAAAACAAGGAAGCTGTATCCTAAATTGTAACTCTGTTGAATCTGATTTGTGGCTTTTATTGACAAAATTTTTGTACCTTTACTAAATAATTAAAAAAAAAACCTATACAAAATGTCAAAAAATAAATGTCAAAAATTTTTAACAGATAAAATTTTTTAAACATGTTTTTCCATGTTTCTGGTGTCTTATCTTACTTGAAATTTTTCTCTGGGTCGCGAGTTCTGACACACCCTGTACAATTTGTAGTTGTTACCAAAAATTGAAAATTAAATTATGGATTGTTTTTTTTTTTTCAAATAAACTATAAATTATTGAATATTGCCAGCAATATTCGGTGACATTGACAAAATAGACTCCGTTTTTCTAAGAGGTACATGGGAGGGATCTCTGTTTGTTTACAAATTATGAAGACTTTTCTTAAATAAAACTATACGTTCTTAGTTGAAAAATATAAAAATATGAAACTGTTTATTCTCAAGCTTTTAATATACGGAACAAAATATTTACTATATTTTTTTTTATAATACCAATATTTATAAGGATTTCTCGAGAACATCCTTGAAAACCGTGACAATAAATGCATCACAATAATACTAAATTGAGGCATTTTTTACACAATATAAATTAATTACTAAACACTAAATTCTGTAGTTTTTCTAATAAAATATTTTATACTGAAAGGCATCTGAAGGTTTTTTTGTTTTTAACGATAAACAAATATTTTAGTTCAGTTAAGAATGCGTTGTGAAATTGGTACCAGAGACATTACTTTTGTCTAAATATTATTTTTTTTAATTAGACATTTAAACAATTTAACATGCATTAAGAAAATAATACTTTAATATTTTAATTTGTCCTATTTTCTAATCTCAAAACCCAAATTAAAAAAAATATATTATGATAAGGACAATGCCAATTTTTATTGAAACTGTAAAAATTTTGACTTAGTTGTGCGCTTTAATGAAGAAATTACTGAATCTTTTATTATACTTTACCTTGAGGAATCCCATGAGTCAGAGCTATATTTTTTGTAAGAAATGCACTCACAATGCAGAAAAGTGGTTTGTTTAAATTACTTTTATTACATAATAGTGTTAAAGAGGAGTACATATTGACAATGCGCAACCTATGTGACTTTTTCTTTTTCAGATAATAAAAAACGACGGTCAAGGTTAATTAACTAGTCTTAAAAGTCCCACTGAGGTTTCCAATGTAAAAACATTTTTTTACATCGAATCAAAATTGACGGAATATTTATAGAAGCTTTTTTACCTTAAACTTATTTGTTTATTTTGGAAAATTACAATCATTAAATTATTATTACATAATTTCTAAGCAACGTTTTCAAAGATGCATCAAGAACGAAAGCCTAAGGTCGAGTATGCATAATGGATATACACTCTATGGATAATTTTTTTCAGCTTGACTATTATTTTGTGACGTCATTGTAGAGGACGATATATAATGGTATATACCACTCAAAGACGGAACATTCTGCTACAGATTTTCGCTATACGAGGATATAATGATTTCAAATTTTGCTATTTTATGTGTGGGTTTGGTAGGGTTTACATGTGCTGTGAGAGAAATACGTAAGTAAATCAGTTTCTTGTTATTAGTTGTAATTAATAATTAATACAATTAATTATTTAATTAAATAAACAATAAACTTAAGTTATCACCTAGAAATGCGATATGTTTTGAAACCTTGATCTTTTAAAATAATTCCTTTCTAATTAAATGGTAACAAAAGTTAAGTATTTTATATATTTTTTTAATTCATGATTTATATTCCCTAAATTCAAAGAGTTTAATCTTTAATTTTTCTAGTAAAAAGTCATGGAAGCTAATAATTTTTTATAGTTTCTTTATAATTCCAAGAAGTGGCACCAAAGTTTTTTAAATCTAATTATTAGCAATTATTTTATTTAAATGTTGTTTGGTTAAGGTCACATTAACTTTTCAGATGTAAAAAAATATTAATTACAGAAAAAAATTATAAATCAAAAATAATTATCGTAAAAATAAGAACTTGAATAGTTGATTTATGATAAAATGGTTAATAAATAATTGTTTTTTTATTTATTTTAGCCGACTACATCCATGTTTGCAAAAGATCTGATCCTCATGTAGCAAAATGCATCAGGGAGTCTGTCGAAGTCTTAAGACCTCGTCTGAAACAAGGAATTCCTGAATTGGACGTTCCTTCATTGGAGCCACTTCACATTAACGAGATTACAATATTTAGAGGTGACCCACCTAGCAATTTGAAAGCTTTCCTCAGAAACGTTAAAGTTCATGGAGCCAGTGACTTCCAAATAACAAAACTAAAGTAAAAATATTCCAGTCATTTGCAAATTGAGTTATTAACGAAATTTTTAGAGTAAATGTGGACAAGAACACATACCGAGTTGGAGTAAAATTCCGAAAAATGACCTTTGACGGCGACTACGACATCGATGCTAGAGTCCTTGTCGTGCCAATTAAAGGCACCGGAAAATTCTCAGCTGATATTAGTAAGTTCTGTGATAAATTTAAAACAACAAAGAAAAAAATTCAATTAGTGTAATTAGATATATCTAATTACGGGCATCTATTCTTAGTACCGACGGTATAAATTTTTTCAGGTGATGTTGATGGTCAGGGAGTTCTCAAGGCTGAAATCATAGAGAAGAACGGACATCGCGAGATCAAATTCACTTCCTTTGATTTTGCAATTAAAATTGCCGATTACAACATCCACCTTGACAACCTGTTCAACGGTGATGAAGTCTTAAGTGAGTAACACTGTGATTTATAACACAATTTAGTGTCGTCAAGGATTGGAGGAAAAATTTTATTTAAAAAATTGTTCTAGGTCGGGCAGCTATGGATGTTATTCATGACAACAAAGCTGAGTTTATTCAAGCTGCTTTGCCATTCATTCAAAGGAAAACGGCTGAAATCCTCTTGGATGCTGCGAATAAAATCACTGAAGATTTAGACTATGATCAAGTTTTTCCTGAAAAGTAAACTTTAAAGCTCAAGTATATTCTGTGATGTATCGTGAATAAGTAGAATGGATTTATTAGCTTTTGTACAAATTGTCTATTTGCGATTTTTGAAAATAAAATCTTACTTTCTATATATTAAGTCGTGGTTTTATTTCACATTTACTGTTATAATTGCCATTTTTTGGTACTTTTTTTATAACTAAACATGCAACTATTGTTTTTCCAATTATTCCTTAATTCTAAGTGAGAAACTGTAACACTGCTTTTTTTTTTAATCCTGATGTTTTAAAAAATCGAAAATTTACATTTTAATAGAAAACTGAAATTAGTTCACTGCTATAGTGTTACAAGCAAAAGTATCAAATGTAGTTATTGTGTTGTATCATTAAAATAAACAATTTGAATTCCAACAATGTAGGAAATTTTCATTGATGTTTTTTAACAGTAACTTAAGAAAATGATAAATTTGTCAATGTTAAGTAATTTGTCAAAATATTTAGTTTATTTAATTGTTCATTTTCGAAAGTAAAAATCGGTATTTTATTTATTTTATTCCCCAGGGAATAAAGTACCAGATTGTTATAATAATAAAGCGTCAGTTTATTCTCTGTTCGGAGAAAAGATTTTTATTATTTATTCAAATTAACCTAAAATCAAATCAAAGTTAATAAAAAATGTAAAAAAAATGTTAATAAATAATTAATCAGTTTGGATAATAACTATTAGATCACTTTTGACTAGGTTACACTTTCCAAAATCGTGAGTTCGAATAATTTTATAAGTAGCAAAATTGTAAAATTTGTTTAATTTTACAAAACGATTTTTGGCAAAAAGTTGCAGCCTACATTATACCTTATAACAGTTAAATAATAAATATAAAAATTTATATTAAAAAATTAAAATGTTTTGAATGTGAAAAGCTTAATTTACGCATCTAGGTATTTATAAAAAAAATAATGTGTCTACGTCAAAAAACAACTAAAGCAGCGTCGATTATTATCTTAAATTATGTGAGATAGATTTACCACAGAATCTAATTATGGAGCACATAAATTACGAATTTATAAATTAGATCTAGTAATTCTAAGAAGTTAAATTAAATTTAAATTTTTAACCGACTGTATTACGTCAGAAGTCAAAAGTGTTGTGAATATTGTATTATATAATTTGTTTTTCTAATACAAATTAATGTAGAAACTTATTATACTTAGGTATGGGTCACTTGGAATAAGTTGCCTGAAAAAAATATGAGTATTGAATGTGTTAATTACTTAATCGTTATACTATGTACCGTACCTAGGTAGTGTTAAAACTTTAGTTTCAAATTAATTTATAACAAAATAGAATAAAACTCTGTAAAAACTGTTTTCTGTCTGAAAAAAATGTTTTCTAAAACATAAAACCAAATGTATTAAATTAATATTTGAAATGAGTAAGTGTTTGAATACATTCACTCTTTTTTTCTTTATGAAAGTGTTGTGTAAATCACTCAATGTTTTATAATTGAACCTTAACAAGGTCTAAAGGGGTCTTCACTTACTAAAAAACTTGACATATGTAATTTAGTTTTATAGAAAACTCACAAGAGGTGGATGGAAGTTCTTTTCGTAAATGTAATGAGGAAATTAACTAAGTATACAGTTATTCAAATTTAAAAGTAGGTATCTAAAAATCTGAAAACATTTTTATGATTTTATTTTGATCTGTATAAAAATACTACCAAAGTGCTTCTAAATCGGATTTAATACAAATGTGGGCTATACCGGGTGTCCCATGAGTAATAAAAAGATTAATTTTTTTTTAAGCAAGCAATATTACATTTCAAAGATAACGTGGATATTAAAATACTTGATTTTAATAAATTAAACTTAGTGACGAAACGGCACTTTAAATTTAATTTATACAAGGTGATTCACGAGGAATAATAATCCTGGACTAATTCTCGATGCAACCACCATTACTTTTCGCAAGTTATTTTGCGGCAACTGTAATGTTGGTTGCATCGAGAATTTGGTCAGGCTCATTATTCCTCGTGGATCACCCTGTATAAAACATTAAACCTTGGTGAATTCGATGATTTACTAAAATGTTGACAAAAGATCGACGTGTTTTATGAAAAAACAATTTTTTTTAATATCCACGTTGTCTTTGAAATGTAATGTTGGTTGCTTCAAAAAATTCAGGCATATTATTATTCGTAGGACACCTGTATAATAATTTTATCTTTCGATAGCTACTATTTCCTTACTTTTATGTTGTATTAGCGAGCAGGAATCAGCAAAAATAAGCAATATTATCATGTTAAATATTTAATATACAGGGTATCTCATATAATTTTACGAGGCCTGCACCTGTAAGATGCAATCAATAATACATATTCCGATATGAACTCGATTACAAATTTTGAAAAATTGGATAATCTTCTCTAGTTTGTTCACCCTTTCATGATTACACCATTTTTAGTTAGTTAGTGATTAAGATAGATAAACTACAATCATATTCATCCCGTCTCTTGATAGATCAAATGATAATTGTTTGTGAAAAACTGCAGTTTATAACTATTAATGAAACAGTGATTAGTTTGACAACTACTGTCATGTGTTTCCAAAAATTAAATAATTAAATGTGTATTTTTTGTATCTAGTGTTTTGTGAATTATGTTTATTTGGGTGCGTACATTAGACGCAAGCCTCTTAAAGTTATGTGAAACAACCTGTAGTGTGTTTCAGGATACGCGCCCCAGAGAGAAATGGCGAGTAATATAAGATACCGAAAACATGGAAAATATGTTTAAAAAATTCTAGCAAATTTTGAAGTTTTTATAGAGAGAATTTTTTTAATGTTTCTGACATCTTATTTTACTTGGCAATTTTTTCTGGGAAGTGTATGAAACCAAACACCCGGTATGTCTACCCTTAATTAAAATCGGTTTATTTTTATGTCACTTATAGTAGATATAAATAATGATGTTGATACAGAAAATCTAAAACAAAATTTTTTATCTGCTTATATTTTTTGTTTTGATATAATTTTATTATTTTTTTGTTCGTTTATAAATAAATCCTTTATAATTTTGTAAAGTACTTTAAATGTATATTTTTTAAAAACAGTTAAATTAGAGTAGAATTCTTTAATTCTATTTACACAAATAGTTGTATACAAAGTACTGCATTATCGTATCATCTTCCATTTATTGCGGAAACAACTGATTAAACGTAAAGGATCCAACAATGTCATTGCCGATTTCTAAGAATATTCCAGAAAGAGCTTTTTCAATCACAGGCATTAATTCATGAAGAAAAGTGTCCAAATTTTTGTTGACAATATCATTGATCACCTTCACTAAAAACAATTTAAATTAAAATTCAACCAAAACTGCAAATACTTACACAACACTTTATCCCCATTAAATAAATTATCGAGTTGGACTTGTCCACCACCTATTTTAACTTTTAGCTCATTCGAAATAAACTTCAAATAAGTTTCACCGTTTTTCTCATATAATTCGCCGTTTAGAATACAAGTTGAAACGCAGTCGGCTGGCCACCAAGAAATATTTTTAAATAAAATGCAATTTTTTCACAAAATAGTACTTACTTACGTTTGCTTCCATATTTCCATTTCCTTTGATCGGAAGCAAGAGTAATTTTCCATCGACAGTATAGTCAGCGAAAATTCGCAATTTGGGAATATCTACATGAATGTGGTAAGTGTGCGAGTCTTTTTCAATGCTGAAATTTTGTTTAAGTTCGAATCGTTACAAATTTATTAATTACGTTAATTCTCTGACAAAAAAATCACTGCAACCATAGGCACTAACATTAGAAGTGACGATTTTTATCCCAGCTACTTCCTCAGATATCAAATCGTGAAAAATCAATGGTTCGAGGCTTGGAATGTTGTACTCCGCAACACCTTCAAAGAATAACCAGAAATCAAAAATATTAAATAAAATTTTACCTGTAACTAAATAAGGCCTTATATCCTCCACGGCGGCAATTAAACACTGTTCCAAATTTGGGTCATTTCGGTGGCAAACGTGAATAAAGGACGCTGAAAGAGTTTAGTTAATTTTGAGAAAGGGAAATTTTGGCACTCACGCAAATCCTCGGCGACAGTTGACCGAAAAATGCAAATAAATAGTGAAAATAATTCGAGGAAATGCATGTTGCACTATTTGCATGAAAAAATATCAGTTTCCTTTCAAAAAACTTTAGTTTTATAGGCGGATATCAAATTATTGGTTGCGTAGAATGATGCATTTCCTGAAATTGACAAGGTTGCAAGCTTCATTTGTGCTAAAATTATAAACGCACTTTGATAACAATTACAAACTGTAGAATTTTTATTTTTAAAGCGATTGATTTGTACGTCTAACGAAAATATAAAGAATCACAAGTTCACTTTTGACTCGACGTTGAAACTTTGAAACTCGCTTTTTTGAAGCGATTTGCGTGTTTTATGCAGTTTTTTTGGAAATTTGGGCTGCTCCCAAATCCTAATTGTGGTGTTTATTTGCCAGTAAGACAAATTACAAAAAATATTCAGAATTGTCACGTATTTCCTCTTCAACAAATAGGTATTACACAATTTAATAATAACACATTATGAAATGGTCAATTATCAAAAGTCTAAAAATCTTGTCACTATATAATTAGATTCACTATACAGGAGACAATCATAAATCATAATTATCTTAAATTACAAACTTATTGTAAAACACAATAATAATCAAATAAATTACAGAATTAACTTAATTTTTACGAGATCCAAGCGTCATAGGGAATATTAGCGAAGAGATTTTCTACAAAATTTCTCATTAAAACAATCAATTTTTTCTTGAGATCTGGTTTCATTTCTTTGAGCAGTTCTTGAGCATTGGAGTTGATAAACAAATTTAAAGCTGCCTCTGGAATAATTTAACAAGATTTAAAAAATCCAAATCGATAATATTTGACATACGTATCACGCTGTTGCCATTATGCACATTTTCCACCCCCATCCTAATGTCTTTCACACTAAAATCCATCTTGATTTGTTGTAGAGTCAGGAATGTGCGTTGGCCAATTCTGTGGGGACTTGCTCTTATGTAAACTTTACATTTAATCCCCTCTGAAAAAAATGTCAAGTATTGTTTTTTATTTTTGTCAAGTTGTCACCATATTCCCCCCAATATTCGCCACCCCCTGAAGCTTGAACGAGAATAAGGACTCCACTTGATTCGTAGTTGGCTCTTGCGGAAATTTTAGGAATATACAGGGTGAACTGGAACTGGTTACTGTCTACATCTGACCTGCAAAAGGACACGAATTTTACTTGAACGCTAACATTAAAAAAACTTAAAAAACAATTTACAAAAATTAATTTCACAAAAATATCTTTTTTAAAATTTTTACAAAACGAATGCATATTTACAATACTATTTATTCTAACTTAACCAAAGGGAAATTCTTATTTTTTTATTTATCGTCGTTGATTCTGCAATATCTATGTGCAAAAAAATTGCAATCCTACACGTATATTATTAAAAATTAATTAGATTTTTTTTGATAATTGCAGACTTTTCAGAACAAATCAGATATTACCATCACGTAGGTACAGCCAAAAATGGGCTTTCAGGAGGTGTAAAAAAAGGCAACGTTAAGATACAAATAGCAGAAATTATGTTAAAAAATTACAAATTATGTAGGTACAAATTTTAATATTTCTTTGTTTTGTTTGTAAAAAACACTTCCAAGAATAAAGGAATAGAATTTTTATTATACCTACTTGAAGATGAATATGAATAAAAGTAACATTCAAAAACACAAAAATATGTATTTGAAAAACTAGAAAACTTAGATTATTTCACAAATTTGTAATAAACATGTTGTTTTAAAGTGTTTTGTAAGATAAACTTAAAATATAGGGTATGACAGAACTCGCGCCCCAGAGAAAAATTTCAAGTAAGATAAGATACCAAGAACATGGAAAAAAGGTTTAAAAAATTCTGTGTCAAATATTTTGATATTTGTTTTTTAACATTTGATATTTTTTTATGTCTATTTAATGATATTGATAATCTTGTATATGATTTTTTTTAATTATTTAGTAAAGGTACAAAAATTTTGCCATTAAAAACCACAAATAATATTGAACAGAGTTACAATTTAGGATACAGCTTCCTTGTTCTCTCTTCTGATAGCCTGTGATAAAAAAACATGAAAAATTATTTTTCCAACAGAAATAGAGGCAAAGTGCAAAATTTAAAATCTCATAACTTCCAAAGGAAATAAAACCATTAAATTCGTCGCAACGTTTCGATATCTTTATCGTATCTTCCTCAGGCGAAGAATTTTTGTTGGCTGAACGTGGGAGGCATGGCACAGTCAAGGAAGAACTCTTCTTTCCTTTGTCCTGTATACCATCAACGAAATCAAGCAAATAACTTCCAAATTTTTATAGATAAAATTTAAAAAAATATATTATGTTCTTATCGTACATACTTTATAGTAAAATTGTTTTCAAAAGACCTACTAAAAATTTTATTACTTTTAAGTTAAATGCGGTATTGTTAAAAGTAAATCAGAGGGTAAACAAATCATAAATTAGTGGAACCCACCCGGACCCTGAAACAGGTTAGTTTTTAACAGGGCCGGATTACTAACTTTGTTTTTGTTTAAAATACTTGAAATGTTTTAATAGTTTTTGATGTAGTTGTTATTAAAGTCAAGTATTTTAAGAAATGTAAAAAAGCCAGGTGGTTATTAACAAGCTATTTATTATTAAATAAAGCTGATTTTTTTAATAATAGCTTGGTAAAACTCTACCACTACTTTAGTTTTAAATACGGCTCTGTTTTATTCTAGTGGGTGCAGCAACACTTGCAAAGGATCGTGCCATTTATGGAGGGTTACAAATTCAAGCCGTTGTTTGGTTAATCCCTTATAATGTGTCATAAAATTTTTAGTAGGTCTTATGAAATCGATTTTACTTTACATGGCTTTTTTCCCTAGGGCGCGAGTTCTGGCGCACCCTGCATATGTATACATTTGTATTCTACTATTATATTACGAGTACTTTTATTTAGAATCACTATAGTAATATGTCGATTCTTAACCTTTTGAAGGTCAGGAAATATGTCATTGCATCCCTTGGTTGCGAAGTAATTTATCATGTATTATTACTAAGGTTATAAGCTTATCAAATGTTAAAAACGCAGTTTGTTTGCATATAAATTAAATAAAAATTCTAATTAGCACTATAATTTAATATTTATCCTAAAAAAATCTTAAAGTTCAAACTTAAAACTCATTATTTATAAAAAAAGTAATTTTAATTTGTTTGTTATTGATGAATTTAAATGGTGATAATAATATTGCTCTTTTGTAAGCACATGAAAGTCAAATCCTTCATGATTCAGTGAAAACATAATTTTTCTGTCTTCAACTAATTTCAAAACTTATTTCGCGTCATTATTTTTAGAAATCTTTGAATGAAAGTGATGTTTTCATATATATTTTTTTAATTCTGTAATTTACTGACCATAATTAAACCAATAATCATAAACCTATGAAAGTAATAATAGCATAATAATATCATGAAACCAAATAAAAGTAGGACAACGAACTTGAAGAAACTCGAAAGACACGAAATAAAGTTAAAAAAGAAACGAAAACGTCATACCTAACGCCTGTTACGGTGATGTTACTGACCCCATAAGCGTGAATGTTTCTAAACGACGCCCTATATCCATCAGGTCCACTTCCTAAAGCGATTCCAATTTCGTCAATGATGATTGGTTCTGGTTCCGTTATTCCCAGTTCAGGAATTCCTCTTTTCATATTCGCAACAAGAAAATTTGCGGATTGTTTCAAACAAACATTTATATTTGGATCGTCTCTTTGACATTGCTTTATGAAATAGAGTGCTGGAACATGTAATTAGAGCATTTTCAAAATAATCGCTAAGTATTTGCTTAATTCCAAGCAAAAACTCGGTCAACGCGAAAGTGTCATTAGCACCTAATTGTGTGACGATTGAGTACACTGAACTAACAGTAAAGATAAAATTATATGATTGACGAAATGGGTTAGTGGTGAAATCACAATTAAAATGTACGGCCTGAATTTTGTTTTTGAAAATTAATCATTTCATAAAAAAATAGTCGAAACTTAAAAAATCAAATAAAGTACTTACGGTCTTGAGCAAAACAACAGTGCATCGAGAAAATTATAGACACAATAAAAATTTTTAATTTTGTCATATTTAATCTAATAAAGATATTCCTCCACTTCTGAAGATACTCTTGCACCAACTGACCTCGTAGAGGTACGACCGTGACTTTGAACTCGGTCATGGAGGGGACTTTTATATCCGAAGAAATTGTAAAATGAATTAATTTAAACATATTTTCAATAAAGAAATTATGAGAAGGGTAATGCAATGCTGTGTAAAGTGTAATCATTCAGTTTGCCATTATTTGTAAAAAAAAAAAAATTGGCAAAAGGAAAAAATATTACACAGCAGTATAATTAATTCTTATAAAAAAGAAAAGAATTTTATGACTAGGAAACTTACATTTAACAAATTTTATTTTTATATTTATTTTTATTAAGTATATGTATAATCAATAATAAATTTAATTCAGTTTCACAAAATTTAAAAAAAAGTATTAGGTAATGTTATTTAAAATGTGTTTAATTTTAAAAATAATTACGACGTGTATTTAATTAAATTAAACCACACTTGACAGAACTCACGTTTATCGCACATACATTGTTTAGAACTTCATTTACATATTTCATGCAACTATTTTCATAACTACGTCAGTAGATTTTAAATTTAGTGTTAAATGCAGGTGACGTGTTATGCAAAAACCTTCATTATTATTAGACACAAAAACCAACAAATATTTTTCAAAACAGGTGTGACCATGTCATTGCCACTATACAAATTATGTATTTACATTTTCTAAAGAATTATTTGTATAGGACAAAAGTATTACCAAAGCTTTTATAATTGTTAATATTTAAAAAAATAGAAACATGAAAACAATTAAATCTTAATGGTCTAATGATTTGTTACGAAATGTTAACAGAAAATTAAAAATCTTCTGCTAAAATAGTAATTTCTTAAAACCAATAATTTTATTTAATACTGGTCATCTTAGTATCAGTTAATTGCCTCTGATTTATCGAGTAAAAGTAACCTAATTTTTTTAAGATTAATTTACTATTACCAGAAAAGCAAATTATAAAAGGAAGATTTTTGATTTTATTAGATTCTAATAAGAATTTGAAACTAGATTTATGTCACAAATTTACAACACACGTTACTATAATAAGCTATGCATTTAGATTAGATACTGAAAAATTTTACAGTATGAAATTTGTAAACCAAATAGTGTTTTACTTAAAAATCTTTCCTAGTTATTTCAATGTAAACCGGCTAAATAATTTCAGACAAATTATAATTTCCATTTAGTTTAGATCAAAGGTATTACTTAAAATATCTTTCTTAAATTGAGTTACTTTTTCGTAGATATATTTTTTATTATACATGACGTGAAAAAATTTCTAAATCAGAAAGTGGTTTGGTAACAAGTAAATCGGTAAAATAGATTATTCCGAAAATGATTATTCTATTAATGTTAACTTTATTTTTGTACCTATTTAATATATTTTTCCATTTTATTGATAAATTTGTTTCATGTTGCATTGTGTAATAAAAAATAAAAAAAAACAAAATCAAAACTCAAAAGAATTATTATTTTTAAATATTTTGTAACAAATATGTAACAAAGTAAAAAAGTACCTCTCCTACATACAAAAAAATAAAATAAATAGTACAAAATGGTATACTAAACTAATTTTCACTGCTCTAGTAACTAAATATCACTAAATTAACACAAAATAAAGCAAAAAAGTAAAAATAATGATTAATTGCTTATTGTGGTGATTTCTCTGACTGTCTAGACAACGGTACGTAAAATACTTCAACAGGTAGATGTGTTAAAAGCTTGTTTGTAATGCTCATAAAAAGTGTGGATAGTTTCTTCCGCAACTGAGGCTTCATCACTTTAAAAACTTCCTGTCCATTCTCTCTCAAAAACAAATTTATTGCTTGGGCTAAAACAATTAAATTATTTTAATAATAATTATTCACTAATGAAAAACTCACTTAAAATTTGGTTGTTCTTGTAGATATTTTTAACAGACATGTGTAAATTTTTCACTGTTAAATCCAAATTCAAGGAATCGACATGAAGGAACGTCAAATTCTCCCTCTTGTGCACACTGACCATCCCTTTAACCACGGCGATTATGTCCTCTGAAAAGTTTTTAACTTAAAAACTGTTCGTTTTAGTAGTTCCACTCACCCAACTGGGCGTTAAAAGTTCCGTTTCCACTAGCAGGTAAAATAATGAGTACACCACTGCTGGTGTATCTCGAGTTGATTCTCAATAAAGGAATATTAATTCTGGCTTCAAACGGTTTCCCATTTTCGCTCAATCTGCAAGACACTATTTAGCAACATATTATCCAACATTTGACTTACTTTAGCTTGGATAGTGTGAAATTACTAGCTCCAAAAATATCAATTTCTTTTAATGAGACTTTGTAACCGTTGGGTCCTGTCGTTAGAGACAAAGACAGTTCGTCCATAAGGAAAGGTTCCACCGATGGTAACTCTATTTCTGGAATACCGGTCGCTAAATACGGCCTTAGATGATGAACTGCACTTTCGAAACACTCGATGAGTTTGGGATCACCCTCGTAGCATTGCTTTACATAAGGAGCTGAAAAAATTCGTACAAAAAGATGTCAATGGCCCTTGTCTACTTTCCATCGTATACTTTGAATGCTCTCTTGTTTTTGCAGCGGTCGTTTAAGTGAAAGCAATATTTTTTTAATTGTTGATTATATGTGGTTGTTTTAAGTATATGTACATAAATAATAAATGTTTATTAAAGAAAAAGCGAAATTCTCCGAAAAAATTCCATTAGAAAATCGGTAAAAATTCAGTGTCCTTGCGGTGTTTTTCAAACAGACACTGATGAATAATACATTTTATCTAATCACAGATTGATATCATTAGATTTAAAAGCTTTGTTGTAATATAAGTGAGTAAAACGGAAATGCATCGCATGTGAGGGATAATAATCACTTCTTGCACAATTTTATTAGCAATTGTTGATACGTATTATAATTCTTGTTACTTTTACTCTTAAGTTAAATAAATATTTGTAATTAAACATAAAAAAATTACTTACGAACTGTATTAATGTCTAGAGCAGCTTCCGAAAGCACAACAGTAGTTGCGGTGAGTATAAAAAAAGTCAACATTTTGCAAAATCACTAAACAAAAATCGTGATTTAATCGAGACACTATCAGCAACGAAGTCGGTGGCGATTTGATGAATACTTGTGATAAATGAACTTAACAAAAGTTTGTTTTCACTTTCTCTTGTAGGTAGGTAATGGAATAAGCAGCGAATTCACTTAACGTTTCAAACGTGGTTCTTTAGTAAATTAATATGATTAGTTTTTATTATTAATTTGGAACATACTGTTCAACTTTCATGGTTTCTTATAATTAAGCAACGGTTGATATAAAATGTGGTGTTTAAATATCAGCAAACGATAGTTTCTTATTTTGCAACCTCATGTTGTGGGGAGTGAATTGAGTAATGCAATTTTTTTTCATAGGTGAGTAATTATAAGCCTTGATTAGTTTGTCTTGTAAAAAGTAGGTATTCTAATGTAAATAAATATTCTTGAGGTAGTTGAGGTATTTTTCAATTTAACTTGTGATTATCGCGAAATCTTAGACAACAAAGGATTAACATCTAGCAGCGGAATAAATTATTGTTAAATGTCGTGTTATTACAAAATATCCCTTCACAAATTGCTGGTAAATACATGTTTACGACTTAAATGGAACTTCTGCTGCGCAGAAAGACTTCCACTAAAAGTGGGAAAATTGAAAAAAAAATTAATTGTGTGTAGTCTAATCTAATCTTGACAAACACTAAGCTGACAGTAATCTAAACTGGTCAAGAATTAGACAAAAGATGAATATTCTAAAAACGGATATAAAAATATAGGTTTCATGGTTCAATTTTAACAAATATTAGACCAGTATTATAAATATAGCCTCAGCAATGTCATTCAAGAATATGTACAAGTGTAAATTTCGCAACAGTCGAGCAAATAATGAAGGCAAATGATTAAATAACACACTTTTTATTTCTGCTATTTTATTTTAATTAATTGTTGAACTGCTGTATCAAAATTAATAATACTTAAAAAATAGTTATTTCGGTTAGATATTGAAAAAAGAAAGACAAAATAATAAAAACAATAAAAATAGAAAATATACCTACATTTTTATCTAAAGTGATTTTGTATACGTATTGGGTATATTTATTATCCTTCAATTGAGTAAAATTGAAAGTAAATTATTAGCAATTTACTGGTACTAGAACTGGTAAGCTATACTTATAGTATAGTTGTTTTTATGTATCACAATAATCACAAATACTGCATTAACAATTTTAGAAAAATAATAAACAAAAATAAATTTATAAAAGCAGTTTTCTCTTGAGAAAAAAATTAAATACTTACAATGTGTCTATAAGTTACTTAAACTAAGGTTTAAGTAGGTACTTATTATTAATATTAAAAAGTATAAAATAGATTATAATTTTTGACATATTTATACAGCGCAGTAGAATTTTTATTTATGTGCCGATGTCGACAATTAATAGTTATTTATTCGACGAGTTTGAGTGTAAATCGGACGTTTTATTTGACCGAGTGGATTTTTAAACCACGAGTGTAACGAGTGGTTTACCATCCACGAGGTGGAATAAAGCGTCCGATTTACACTCAAACGAGTTGAATACAACATTTTATTCTTCGAATTAGACTCAACAAGGCTTAAACTTGCTTTAACTCTGTTGTCGAAGAATAAAAAAAATTGACAATTTTAGAATTTTTCTAAATGTTATAAATATACAGAGTGTATACAAAGTGGCGCATAAGCTCTTCAGTACGCTATAAAAACATTCCAATATATTCTATTATAATTAAAAAAAAAATTCTCAACTATTCCTACCAGTATGATGAAGAAAAGTTGAGAATTTTTTTTTATTTCTTTTTTTTTAATCGGCGATATAACCCGAAAGAGACAAAAATCTTTTAGTCTTTCACATAAACGAAGCTGAAAATTATTGGTAAAAATCGGCAAAATTAAATTTTAAAAGTTATAATTTTTACGTCAAGAAAGCCGAAAACTTGATCTGGCAACGTAGTTAAGAATCAACTTTTAAATAATGTTTATTCACAATCACTAATGTAATATGCCGATTACTAACCTTTTAAAGAGTGGGAAACACATCATTAAATCTCATGAGGAGTAATAATATTGCTTCTCTTGGGTGATAATATGTACGATAGCCAACCTTAAAATTACAAAAATACCGGAAATTTTTTTTTTTCAAATTGTCAAGTTAGGCATAATATTTCGCTAAATTAGTATTCAATTGCTTTTGTAGCAGTTTCTCTTAATTCTGGGGGAGAACATTGCTCCATATTTCGACGACTTTAAATCAGATTTAAACATTATTTCAATATTTTCTTTGACATTTCTGAAATGTCAAAAATCAAACGTCATTTGGATGGCCTACCACGTTTGGACATTAACTTTGTTACAATTTTATTTTGACTCAAATTTTTGACTGAAAATAATGTGATTGTGAATAAAATAGCATACAAACCTCGGTGGTAATGGCATTACCCCTGGTGCTTTATCCAATCTCGTGGCTGGCGCCTCTCGATCGTATGCACTCGGGGTAATGCCATATTTACTACCTCGCTTGTAATCTACTATTCCATTGACTTTTGTCAAAATAATTATTGATACCTACTTGCTAGTTTAAAAACAGTTTTTGGTTCATTATGATGCGCTAAAAATATGTATGTATTCGAATAGTGTATTCGCAAATGTAATTTTAATATTATATAAAAAAATCTTTGGATTTACGATTGCTCTCAGTTGGCTCAGTTGGTTATAAAAGTAGTCATAGTTACAATAACTAAAATATACCAAGTTTATTTCACAAGAATTAAAATAGAGATATGGCGAATATACCTACCTATACAGAGCGTCAGAACTCGCGTCTCAGAGAAAAATTTCAGGTAAAATAAGATACCACAAACATGGAAAAATTGTTTAAAAAAAAATGTCAAAAAAATTTGAAGTAAAAAATTGTAATTTTTTGGACTGTGATTGATAAGAGAAAGGTTATGGGAAAAATAAAGTCCAGTTAAAAACTTCAGTATAATATGACGTTTCAATGGTACATTTCCATTTTCTTCAGATAAAAAAAAACAACAAAGGTGTCTAAAATTGATTGACGACACTGCCACGTGTGTGGTGGAAGGAAGTATTTTAGATACGTTTTTTTATATCTGAAGTAAATAGAAATGTACCATTGAAACGTCATATTATACTGAAGATTTTAACTGGATTTTCCCATAACCTTTTTCTTTAAAAAAAAATGACATTTATTTTTTGACATTTGACATTTTTTTATGTTTATTTAATGATACTGATGATCTTGTATATGTTTTTTTTATAATTATTTAGTAAAGGTACAATTTTAACAATAAAAACCACAAATAACATTAAACAGAGTTACAATTTAGGATACAGCTTCTTTGTTTCCTCTTTTAATAGCTTGTAGCAAAAAAACTTAGAAAATTATCTTCCAACAGAAATAAATAGAGTCAAAGTGCAAAACTTAAACTCTGATAACTTCCAAATTTTTGTAGATAGAATTTTTTTTTAACATTTTTTTCCATGTTCCTGATATCTTAGCTTACATGGCATTTCTCTGAGACGCGAGTTTCGGCGGACCCTGTATATTCACGATGTTGTCAGTTTTACCATACCACAGATTAAGGCCTGTTAACGAAGGATTTTTAAAATTTTTTTTAGAAGTGTCTTGGAAGGTATCCTACTACCAGAGAGCTTATGCGTTATTTTGTATAGACCCTGTATTTTGGGCTATGTTCTAGTCCCAGCGCCGCGATAAGATGAACCGCCCACATAACTATTACTACAAAAACCGACGGTACCGACACAAAAGAAACATCATCGGCTACAGTTTCAGTGCAAGATTTCAAAATGTAAAACAAAAAGCCGTATTATTCCGTGACCTTGGATCACCACTCCTTGACAGACCAGTAAGAATAGCAGGTGCAATATTTCAAGCAACAGGAACAGGAGGATCATTAACTGCAAAATTATACGACATCGAATCCGGAACAATTGACTATAGAAGCATGGTAACACCACCAGTACAATTAGGACCATCAGTAGGGCCAAAAATCAAACTATGGAACCAATCAGAAAATTTCGAAAACCGAGAACTAGGAGACGCAGTGCTAATATTCAACATAACAAACCAACAAGCAACAGACAATATGTTCAGCTTTTACTAAAAATTTTAAAACTCAGCTGATACTATATTAAAAGTCATTTAATTATTTTTTTCTAATTTTTAAAATCAGGCCATAAAAATTCTACAGCGTCTACCGATTTTTAAAAATCACCCTGTATTATTAATTTATGAATTTATTAAAAAAAGGTTTAAATATTTTGTAATAAAGTAAATGCTGAGTATTGTTAGTTTTTTATATACTACATTTGAAATTTGTTTCCAAAATTATAATACAATGTATTTAACGAAAATGTAAAACAATTAACTATCAATTAACAAAGCTATTATAAAAATATAAAGTAGAATTCTATATCAAGTTGTATAAAAATCAAATGCAACACAAAATACACTTATGGAATGTATTATGTGTTGCATTTTTCTTTTAAAATCGGTAAATTAGGACAATTTTATAATATTTTTAAAGCATCCAGCTTTTTTCGAAATAATAACGTTCATACATACGGTTAAAAAATACAGTAAAATAAGGGTGAATAGTTATTTTCGAGATAATTTGGTTTAACAAATCAAGTGATGGCATAATATGTTTTTCTAATAAAGATCGGAATTTTTTAAAAACGTTAAAAAAACTTACCCTACCTCAACCTAACAGGTAAACAATATGCTCCTAAATATAATAATATAAAAAATTGTGCAATAAATTTAAATTTAAAAAATATTTTGGTACATTTCTTTTATTCAACCTTTGCATAAGTTAAATTAGATAACAAGGAAACGAGAACGGAGAGCTCAGTCAATAAAGTTATTAATTGATTGAATTGAATTACTTCGTAATAGGTATGTATATCATTTTCCTGTGTTTTACTGTAAACAAAAAGTAGATGAATTCAACAACAATGTTTTATCACTCCAAATTGACCAATACGAAGAAACGAAAGTTTCAAATTAGCAATCCCTGCATGATTTGGAAAGAATCCATAATCTCGTCCTCTTATTAGAAAAACTTATAAAACAAGAGATAATCTAAATATTTAAGCTATTTTCCGTGTTCATATTACGTGTTGTAGATACGGTCTTGATTAACTTTATGGTTGAACGACAACTTGGGTTAAGGATGACTTCTAATGCAGAAGAATGAGAGACCATAAAATTTTACTATTGCTTTTAACAAAAGTATTACAAATGATTTCAAACAATGACTTAAACAATCATTGCAAAATCATTTAAGATGAAAAAAATGTTATATGCTTACTAATAAATATATTCAAATTAATCAGTTTTTGATGTTGATGGTAGAGTTGGCAAAATGTTGATCGGAAGTGAGAATTGAAAAATTAATTTTTTCTGGTTAATTCAAAAATTTCCCAATGACAGTGCAAAATCACTTTCAATTCTCGACTCAGTTTCTAATCAATTCATATCTCTCCATTACCTATCGAAGGAGAAAGTAACTTGGACGAGCAAGCAATAATTTCCCGGATTCGTAAATTCCACCATGAGTGGGGTATTCTTGTTCAAAATATACCACTTTCATTACGTTATAATCCTTTTAACAGAAACAATTCAAAAATGTATTAGTGCTGTTTGCAGCACCGTCGACACATTTTCCATTCAAGTTAAAGTACAAAAAGTGATCACAATTAAAAGAATGTTAGTCTTTATAATAGTTTCATTGTTTGCCAGTGTTAAGTGTCAGGTTGATTTAGGTATGTCACGAATTTTGACTAATTAACAGTTCAAATTAATTCTAAAACATAAAGGAATTTACTACAAAATTTGTAATAAATTGTTTTGTTACATAGAACTATAAATATTAATTAATAAATTGTGCGTTATTAAAAATTATCATCAATTAAACGCCACCGCTTTTTGGAAACTCAATTTGGCATAACAATGGCAAAGTCAACTTTCACATATTATGCAACAGTGCGTTTACTTCACGAAACAACAGTTTAGCACGTGCTTTTAGAAATTAAGACAATTCAAGACTTTCCACTAAAACAATAAAAAATTCTCGCTCCGCTGAAAACTGCAAAATAAAATTTATCGTTATGTTTAGTGAACTTCTTTGGAGAATGTCAAAAAACGGAAGAAACCTTTGATGACTGCGTCAAAGACGGATTAAATTCCTTGAGAGCTTACTTTAAAACAGGTTTGTATCTCCCTTGCGTAATAAATGCATCTGTAATAAGTGTTTTTTAGGGTTGCCTGACTATAACATTGCCCCTTTTGACCCATTTTTTGCGGCCGAGGTGCCGCAAAAACGGAGTGGACCTTTTTTTAATTACAAATTAATTCTTCGTAATGTCACAGAATCTGGATGGACCTCGTCTCAAGTTAACAAATTCAGGTGGCTGTTTTTTTTATCTTGTCCAATTTTCTTATTTGTGTTTTCAGAACTGATTTTAATAAACATTTCATCGAGTTTACTCAATTTTTTCCTGATAAAAAATTGAGTGGGTTGTATGAAATTGAAGGGACTTTCTTCGGTAACAAAATCACGAATCAAGGGTCATGGAATTTGAACTTGTTTGATTATGTACAAACCATGACGGTTACGAGAAAACCACGGCGAGATGCAAGTGGACAAATTATTCCAAATCCACCGCTGAAAGTCCAAGTTAATGTCCAGTCTTGCAACAAATTGGAACTTCATATTGGACATTTAGCTGGAGGTAGAACCATTGTTGGTTAGTAGTTTCAAATTTAAATATTTTTAAATTTAGAAATAATGCCATTTTTTTAACAAAAACAATCTCTTATGTAATATTGGTTAATCGAGAAAAAAATAAATAATAGTTATAAATAAAGAATTAATGATTATTACACAGGCTGTCACAAGTATTTTTATTTTGTGAAACTTTCTACATCTTTTTATGTGGCTTAATTTCTCTAGTACTGTCTATTTATTTTTACGTAGTTGACTTGAGTATCTTTTAATTTTTTTTTTTTAGAAAACATGTTGGATTGGGTCATCAACAACGCATGGCAGCCGGGTTTTGTAATTCTAAGGCCGCTGATAAACGATTTAGTAGCTACGGCATTTACGGAAATATTGAATAAAAATTTCCAAAACTTCCCGTTTGAAAAAGTGTTTCCTAATTAAATTTCATCACGAGTACATGTATTATTATGTCATTTTTCTTTGCACAAAATTTGTAAATTACAATAATTGACAAAATTACAAAAATTTAATTAGCATTTGGCAATTGTAAGTAATCAGTGCACATTACTCTATTGTTATTAATTATTGTTTCATAGAATCATTTGTAATATAATTACATATACGGACGCAGTTTTAAATTTTCATGTTGCCATAATTAAAAATTTTGTTCAAAATATGTTTTGTAAAAGCGAAATTATAGGATTATATTTTTGAAAGATTATATTAGGGAATAGTGTTCTATTTATTGTACTATAGACATTCACATAATCTTGTAATTACATTGCACCAATAGCATTCAAAAAAGAAATAAATTTGTACTTAAATTTTAAAAAAATTGTTTTCACTATTACTAAATAAGTAAATAAATAGGTTTATGTAAAGTAAAATTATTAATGTTTAAGCAACAATTCTTCTAGTCATTAAATTTGCATTGTAACACTACATATTATTAGCGTAACTTTAGAACATTAACAGAGCCGGGGATGGCAATAAGTAAATATTTATTTATAATAAAACATTATAATTAGTATGTTTTAAGTTATTTAGATTAGATCTAACAGCACGTATAATATAATTTCATTATTTTCTCTATAATGTTGGCCTGACATAATAATACGAGAGTTATAAATATAATATTTTTCCCACAAAAATATAAAGCAGCGTTGTAGTTTATACTGCCCCAGTTATTGATTATCCACCTACACCTTTATGTAAATTTTTACGTATTTGTATAAAATAGAAATTGCACGCAAAATAATCAATGAACGAGTTTAGAAAATGAGTATTTTTTGCTAAATCTGTTTTGTATTCTGTGGGTTTACTGCAAAAATTGTCCAAGTCGTTTTACAACTAAAAATAGTCAGAAACAAAATATCGTAAATAATTTTTTTACAGTGGTATTAGTATACTTAATTAAAACAAAATTTAAAAACAAAAGATTAATATTTATGAAAAATCGCACTACATACTTGTATTTCTGGAAATATACAGGGTGAGTCGTAATTAAGTGTAAAAAAATACCAAATAAGCTTTCTTTCTAGGTATGTCATTAAACGTCAAAATACAAAACACACAATGTAATTTAAATAGAACTCTAGCAACATTCTGTATGTTTGAATTAATTGTTTTGTTTTGGCTAAAAAAAGCGTGTTACATTTTTAAAACCTAATTATGGTTCCCTTAATATACATATAAGCATATGACTGTGTACCTACTACTAAATATACATAACTATTGTAATTATAGATAACTAAAAGAAAACTAATAAACTGAAAATTACTGGTATTAGTAGGTAGTGTAGAATTGTAGATGTATAATGATAATTACATACCAGGTTATCCAAACGTTTTTTGCTTAAACTATTTATTTTTTGGTAAAACTAATTGATGAATGATAAAGTACTATAAAAATGTGATGTTTTATCAAAAATAAAGTTTTTCGAAATTTTCTTTTTTTTTGAGTTCTACAAGATTTTTAATTTTTTTAAATGGCAACCCACTATAAAACCATTTTTTTCATGAACGTTATGATCTGAGAATTACAACTATTTTATATTAAAAAAATTTTTTTTTAAATAAATTGCAATTTTGACAAAAAAAACATCGCATAATTCAAAAACAAAACAAAATTTTGTTGTCAAAGAAAACGATCACATTTTGTATATTACTTTAATTTATATTAGTTATTATTTTCTAATATTATTTTTCAAATTTTCAAATAATAAAAATAAAACCGCTTGGTTCCATTCTTTATATTCACCCTGTAGATATAAAACGTTTAATAAATGACCAACTCATTGGTACGTTGTGTACGTTGTTTCAAGCATATACGAAAAAAAAAATTGAAACCATATTTTACAAAATCTGAAACCACAAACTTATTTAGTTCTTCAATTCACATTACAGTGTTTTTCTTTTGGTTTTCCTCTTTTGTCAAATCTAGTTCACTATTACTCAAAACTATTTTATTTGATATATTAATGTCAAAGCGACGTAGGGAGGAAATAGTTTTGAGAAATAGTGAAATACATTTGACAAAAGAGGAAAACCAAAAGAAAAACACTGTATTTTCTCAAATGTTCATATTTTACACTACTCTAAGTAACCCTTTCGTATACCTACTATGGAAATAAATTAAAGAGATAAAAATTTGTTATTATGGGTCAATAATAAGCAAGTGAGACATAAAATAAAAAATAAACTTTAGTCAGCTATTCTGGATTCAGTAATATAATGTATTTTTTAAATAAAAATCAAAGTTCGCTAACATTTTTGAACAGCTTTTTATTTTGGTTTTTTTAATTGTTTTACATATTTTCAACGAGCTTTTGCCGAATAATGTATTGTTGATTGCATTTTACAGGCGCGGGACTCATGAAATAAAGTGAAACACTTTATATGTGCAAAACGAAGGAACACAACTAAAAAATAATGTCAATTTAAATTGTTAACAATGGCCACATATTAGTAGATTAAAAATTTAACTTATTCTTCTAAATGAACACACATATTGCTCATTGGCAATTGTGTATCTCAGGACTTTTCTATCGTCATTTTATTATTTTTCATAATGTTTTTTTTTCTGTATGATCTAAATTCGTTAATAGGGCTCAGTTGTATGTAACACAGATTTTTCTTTTACCCAGAAATTAAATGTGACTTATTTCACCCCAAAAAATACAGTTGTGACGTTGTGTCGATAGAAATGGCACTGTGGAAAACTAGTTGGTTTAATAAAACCGGAAGTCAACAACCTAAAGTAGTTTTATTATTTAAATCAAATTAAATTTAAAATAAAAAATGAGTTATTTTAACATACACGTGCGAGGAAAAAATGTAACAATAAGTCTGTTTTGGCTCTTAAAATAAAAGTTAAAAGGGTGTGCTATGTCAAAATGAAATAGAACGAACAATTTTGAACCGATTATTTTTAAAGTATGGAACAGATGACATGTTAAATGATTCTATAAATACTAGAACACGTTTGTTACCAAAACAATCAGAACAAAATATTTCAAACTGTTTGAAAGATGTATGTTTTCAATTTTAACTTTTACAACATTGAGTAATTAATTTTTCACATTCATAACATTACCATTGATGACCGACGATACTCCGGAAATAATCATTAAACAAACATTAAACTAAAGTAAATAACGATACAAGAATAAAACAGCTGCTATTCCGCTTCTATTCTCACACGATATATCCTGTAAAAAATCCGAAACTTAAACATAAACTTTTGCTCGAATCCACACTTCCATTCACACAAACTTTTCCTTTCCTGCTTTATTCATTCGGCAAGTTTGTAAAGGGATAAACCCTAGCCACTACCATCGAAAAACACGTCGGACGTAAATAGCATCCATTCATAAAACCACTTCCGGTGCCAACTTCCCTCCTAATTCAATCTTTCCTGTTTTTAAGACATAGAGTAAAAGATTAGCCGATTTTTTGACGCCCTTCGACTTGTAAAAAGTGCATTCAACACGAATTCATTCATCATACATTAATAAAATGTAATCATATCCGTTTCCGGTCATCTTTCGCTCTTTTTAGTTGAGATGCGTGCTATTCAATTACTTTTAAGGACGTGAATCTATTCATTTAATTTAATGTTTATTAATAGCATAAATTATAAATCAATCTACCACACAGGTAAATTGATGCTAGATTTAACGCTTTTGTCATGACATTATTTGAAAATTTGAACTACCTGTTCAAACATAATCAGACCAACATCCGGATTAATAAAAGTTTATTTGCAAACGATATCACACGTTGACTAATATTTATTTTATTACCTGAAGCTACATGGTTTGTTTTACAATATCTGTAAAAACATATAGATATAGATGAAATTCGTACTATCAAAACTAATAAACCGATAGTTTAAGTTTCGAAACATGTTATCACACCATGCCCTATGTCATTAATACACCGGAAGTGACAAACCGGTACTAAAATAACGGAAATGTAACCTGAGATTCGTCTATTTTTTCCTCGTGAAACGGTATGTCATAATTTTTGAGATTTTCATGCACTCAACAGGAAACGTTAAAAATCCACATTTTAAATTAACTTGAATCAAAATAAGTCAAATAAATCTTGTTAGGTTTGAGATAAGGACAAAGAATGTGTTCATTGTCAATAAGAGAAAATCATTTGTATCGAAAATTGTAATTTATATCGAAGGACGTCTATCATATGCGTGATTAACTGTTTATTTACATAACATGGTGATTACATTGTTGTTATTCTATTGATTTAAAATAAACACGGTGAACACTTCCGAACGGTTGTTTCAAATTTGTATGGGAGACAATAGAGGCTTTTTGTCAGTCGGTCATTGAAAATTCCAATAATGGATTAGCAACAATGGAATACTTAAAATATGATGGCAACTACATTTTTTTCCATAATATTTATGTTTCAAAATGATTGACATCTCGATAGGTGTTGAGAATGTATACTCGTTTTCATATTAATATGCATCGAAGTAGTCGTTGAAAGGAATCATTCCAAGGTAGCAACCATGCAAAAATTCAAACAATCCTAACTTCAATCTTCCCTACAAATTATTTTTTCAAATAAATGTGTCTTACATGTAGCAAAAAATAACTAAAATTAACAACTTAATTAATATAGGGTAGTAAACGTAAAGATTTTTGTCATTATTGATGTGATTAAGTTTATTCTGAATGACATTAATTGACACTTTTTTGTGTGAATCAGCCTTTAACTAAAGCTGCATTTAGACTTCCACAACCTACTTGTTGCACATTAAAATGAAAAAGAGTATAAATCAGACTTTAATTTTAATTCCAAAAAGTTACTAATGTAAAGAGTTACTAATGTGAATATTCTTTAGATCATGATACTTCATAAAAAATGACATTTTAGTTGAATTCTGCAAAAAAAAAACCTATTTGTCCAAAAGAAATTTGCATGTTTTCGTTATGGTTTTGGTGAATATATCTAGAAGAAACGTGGAACAGAATAAAAAAATGGAAGAGAAAATGCACAAAAACCTCTTAAAAACGATAAATGTAACAAATTGTGAAATAGACGTATCTTTAACCAGTGGCTGCAATCGTACAAAGATAAACAATCTAGAACTGTCGAAGTACCAATGTTGCCACTTTAAATTTGAATTTCCATGAATTACCGAGATGTCTATCATTTTAAAACGTTCTATACAAATTTTCAATTTATTTAATGTTGCCTATTAAATTTTAAAATTACAGACCACTTTTATAAAAAAAAATATAATAATAATGTAATAATTGTACGCATGGTAAAAGGAAGGCATTCATTGGAAATTTGTAAAATATTTATAATAAGAAATATTGAATTCTTGATTTTG